GTTGTCATTGAGTCGATTCCAACTCATGGCAATCCCGTGTGCCACAGTAGAACTATGGTCCACAAGGTTTTCAATGGCTATGACCTTTCAAAAGTACATCACCCCGCCTTTCTTTCAAGGTGCCCCTGGGTGGACTTGAACTGCCAACCTGTCGGTTAGCAGCTAAGTGTGTTAACCATTTGCACCACCCAGGGACTCCATACGAGGAACAAACACGTTTAATTACACGTTCACTCTCTGCCTCATCCCTTGAGACCACAGGCTCCTTCTGGGTGGGACAGCTCCCTCATTCCCTGTGGGACCCTTAGGGCCCAGCATGGAGTCTGCCTCGTAGGAGGTGGTGGCTAAACACACACGGAATAGAACTGAACTGTCCTCCTGAGACTGAGACCCTAGGATCCCGCTCCACTAGGGTCCTGAGATTGCCTTCGCCTAATAGGTGGGTCTGAGGCAGGCCCCGGGTCCTTCTCCCTGCTGTGCACGTACCCCTGGGTGGTGGAGGCGGTCACGCTGACAACCATGATGGTGGCGTTGGTCAGGATCTGCTGCAGGTTCTCATTGTTCTTGCACTTGTCCAGGCTGTTGCCCAGCTCCTGGGGGTGAGAGGAGAGGAAACAAGCAGAGGATGGGGTGTGGAAACTGTCTTCACTTGCACCTGACCCTCTCTACTTAAATCCTCCACAGGCATTCCCGTAGGATGCTCTTAGGGCCTGAATTGTGTCCCCCAGAAAGATATGTTGAAGTCCTAACTCTCGTACCTGCTGAGTGTGACCTTGTTTGGGGAATTAGGGTTTTTCTTTGCAGATATTGTCAATTAAACACATCACATCGGAGTAGGGTAGGTTTTAATCCTGTATGACTGTTAACTCATGAAAGAGGAGGACAGGCAAGGAAATAGTCACACACAGGATGAAGTAGCATCTACAAGCCAAGGATTACCAGCAGCCACCAGAAGCAACAGAGGCATGGGACAGCTCCACCCTAAGAGCCCACAGACGGAATCAACACAACTGATACCCTGATTTGGCCTTCTAGTCTCCAGAACTGTGAGAGAATAAATTTCTGTTCTTTAAAGCCACCCACGTTGTGGCATTTTATTACTGCAGCACTAGGAAACTAAGATCCTAAACCCGAAAGGCCCTGTTATGATTTAATTGTGTTCTCCCAAAAGACAAGTTAAAATCCTAACTTCTGTACCTGTAAATAAGGTCCTTGGGTGGCACAAATGGTTTGCACTTGATTACTAACCTAAAGACGGAAACCTGGTGGCACAACGGTTAAGCGCTCAACTGCTAACCAAAAAGCCGGCAGTTTGAATCCACTCTTCGCTCCACAGGAGAAAAGACCTGGCGATGTGCTTCCATAAAGATTACAACCTAGGAAACCATACGGGGCAGTTCTACTCTGTCGTATACGGTTGCTAGGAGTCAGAATCGACTTGACGGCACCTAACAACAACTAACCTAAAGGTTGGTAGTTCAAATCCACCCAGCGGTACCACAGAAGAAAGGCCTGGCAACCTGCTTTGGTAAAGATTACAGCCAAGAACACCCTATGGAGCACAGTTGTATCCTGACACACATGGAGTTGCCATGAGTCAGAATCAACTCCACAGCAACTGGTAAGGGGAGGATCCAAGAGTGGGACCCTGTCGCCTTTACAGGCTGGTGGCAGTCGAGAAGCCTCAGTTCTTCTGCAGCCCACCACCCCTGCCTCCTCTCCACTCACCTTGACTGTGCGGATGTAATCCAGCGCATTGGGCACCAGGGACTCCAGCTCGGGGAATCGCTTTGAGTACTTATCCCGGATAAACTTATGAATGATGTCTAATTAAAGTGGTACAAGAAGGAGAAGGGTCTGGTGAGGTGGGGCAGGCTCTGCTGGTGTCCCAACACCCACTTCCCCTTTTTCTTTTAGGAACTACACCCGAGTTCTAGCTGGGCACACAGACACCCAGGATGAAGGTTACATTTATCAGTTGCCCTTCATGCTGCTGTTATCAGCTGCCAGTGAATTGGCCCCTGACCTGTGGTGACCCATGCGCAATGGAACCAAACACTGCCCAGTCCTGCACCATCCCTGTGATTGGTTGTGGACTGGACCATTATGATCCATAGGGTTTTCACTGGCTGGGTTTTGGCAATAGAATGTCTGGCCTTTCTTCTTAGTCTGTCTTAATCCAGAAGCTCCACTGAAACCTGTTCAGCCCCATAGCAACACACAAGCCTCCACTGACAGATGGGTAGTGACTGCGCATGAGGTGCATTGGCCAGGAATTGAACCTGGCTCTCCCATATGGAAGACGGTAATTCTACCACACAGTCACCACTGCCTCATGCCTTTAATGCCAGAAATGGTCATATGGGTTAGTTCTAGTCCACAAGACATGGGCTGAAGTGACCTGTGTGATTTGGCTAGGGTCTCTAGGAAAGCATCTGATGGCAGGAAGCTTCAGGAAGCTGAGGTAACCTGAAGGACACTCTCTTTGTGGAATTGTTATTATCAGATACGAGTGAGCCACGTCTCACTATGGGGCTAATAGAGGCTCTATTCCTCTTTCCCCCCATGGTCTCTTGTGACTGGCTTCTTTTACTCAGGGTCTAACAGACAGGACCTCTCCAGAGTCCACATCACTCTGCCATGAACTGTGCTCTCCTCTCCTCTCCCGTGTCTTGCTGGTGGGGATGTGGAGGTGCTGGCAGGAGGTGGTGCTGTCACCTTGGACTATGGAATAGGTGGCCAACCAATAAGACAGAAAGAGCCTGGGCTCCAGAGGAGGTCAAGAAGCTGTGCAGACCGGGACTGCTCACCTAGACTTTATGTGATCAGAAAAGTTACTCCCCTCTTGTCTAAACCACCCTGTTACAGCAGCAGAACCTGCATTCTAGCTCATACGAGGGGCTTGTGAAGCTGCCAATACAAGGTGCCTGTGAACCTGTTAATACAAGAGACTTGGGGGGCAGAACCCTGGGAAAAGCTAGCGGAGGAAGGTGGCTCAGGTTCCTGCCTCTCTCTCTCATCTGGGGATGAGGGAAGGTTTGGGGGACACTGCACTGTCTCACTTGGGGATGGGGGAAGGTTTGGGGGCCACCGCTCTCCCCGCTGGCCACTCCTGGCACTCACTCAGCTCATTCTCGATCTCCACGGTCAGGTTGTTGGCGTCCACAATGACTCGGTATTCAGGGGCCGCCTCTACTGGACCCATCACTGTAAAGACAAAAAACAGCCTGGGGTGTGAGTGTGAGCCTAAACACCCCCCTCTCCTCCACAGCAGGAAGACTGGGGGGAGCTAAAGGGAAGGAGTGGCAGAACGGTAAACCAGGGGACGGTGTACGTGTCTTCAAAGGTCCCCTAGACCAGCGTTCCTGCCTCCCTGTGATCTCTCCTCCTCCAATCTGTCCTTCAGGCCAGACTAAATTTTTTGTTTTTAACAGCTTTTATTTGGATATAATTCATATACCACACAATCACCCATTTAAAGTATGCAATTCAATGGTTTTTAGTATATTCAGATATATGCAATCATCACCACTGTCAATTTTATAATATTTTCATCACTATGAAAAGAAACCCTGTACCCTTTAGCTATCACCTCCCTGCTATTCTCCTCCTTCTAAACCCAGAGCTAAAACTAAAACCCAGCCAGCTGCCATCGAGTCGATTCCAACTCATGTGTGTGACCTCATGGGTGTCAGAGCAGAACTGCTCCACAGGGTTTTCATGCCAGAAGCAGGGAGAGCCAAGGGGCCTGGAAGGAGGATGGATGGGGGAGAGAAATTACCTTCTGAAGCTTTAGCTTGCTTGCTGATATACTCCTCGATCTTCATCATGATCTCAGCAAACTGTTTGAGACGGAGAATAAGATCAGACGCTAGGAATCTTCACAAAGAGCTGCTGTCCCCATCACCCCCTCCCAGAAGCTTCTATTTACAGTCAGCCTGCACGCCTCAGAGTCCTCTCACCATCTTGCTGTCCCATAGCTTGGCGATGCTCTTGACTGAATCCCCGGAAAGGTCCAGCTGTGTTTCCTCCTGCACATCCTCAATTGCTGGCTCCTCTTCTTCCTCCCCATAGCTTCCTCCTTCCTCCTCTTCAGCTGCTTCCTCAAGGTCAGCCAAGAGCTCGTCTGCCAGAGACATCCTGAGGCCTGTGAGGAGGAAGAGCAAAATTCTTTAAAACCTTGCCCAAACTAAATCCCTTCTCATTACTGGGAGGGGATTCTCCTCCAGAAGGCCTTGTTCCTTCTTTATCAACCCACCACATAGGAAGGAGCCCTGGTGATGCAACGGGGAAAAGGCTGGCAGTATGAACTCACCAGTCCCTCCATAGGAGAAAAGAGCTGGGGATCTGCTCCCGTAAAGATTACAGCCTAGGAAACCTTATGGGGCAGTTCTACTGAGTAGAACTATAAATCGCAATCGACTCCAAGCCACACAACAAGAATGCCTCTTCCCTGTCTACTGACCCAACACCTCCTCAGCCTTTAGGTCTCATTTTATGACTAGGAAATCACCTCCCTGACCCACACACCACACTCCTGGGTGTCTACCCTAAGACACGTCATATATTTGCGATTACTTAAGTTATTACTTGATTAAGGCTGCCTCCCGAGGTATTAATCAACGGCCTAAAAGGGCAGGGAACAGCTTTTGCTCCGGCCATATCCCCAGGGCCAGACGTAGGAGCACTTGTCCGTTGGGCAAGTGAATCAACCAATCTATAAAGACCGGGCCTTCTCCTTCCACACTTCCTCCCCAAGACCCAGGAGTCTGGTGTCCCTTTCTCCGTCTTTTTCATCACACCTACCTTTTCTCTCCTCGCAGGACGGTTTCTAAGAAGTAAGCTTCCCAGGAGCGGTCGGCGACCACTGATGACGTAGCACACCCGGGGTATCGAGAGCAACGCTACACTCTGATTGGCCACCTACCCGTGACGTTCCCCGCCGCGTTCTGAACAACAACTTTATTAGCAGCACCTGCTGGGCTCAAAAGGGGTAGAGCAGGAAAGCGGAAAGGGGGTTAGCGAGCTCGCGGCTCGCCGTGGACTGGGTCTGGTAAGCGGAGGATCGCCGTGGCCGGACGACAGGGTGTCGAGACGAGAATGAAAGACGGTGGCAACTCAGACGACTGGTGGCGGCGTTAGACCTTGAAGCAAGGCCTTTAAGCAGGGACTCCGGGTGGAGGTGGTGATGGTGTGGGAGCGAAACCGGAAATAGGAAACTACAACTCCCAGACGGCATCGGGGTTTCGGGCCCGGTTTCCTTAGCCGCGAAGCCTGATGGGACTGGTAGTTTTACGAACGCCTTGATCTAGCGGTTTGAGGGAGTTGGAAGTGTCCAAGCCTGGAGCAGCCAAAGCAGGAGGGAGATGGAGCTGGAACAGCGAGAAGGGTAAGTGGCTGAGCCCTTCAGGAAAAACTACGAATCCCAAAAGACACTGCGGCTGCATATGTGCGACTTTCTCCGCTTTTAACCCTAAGGGCTGACGGGAGTTGTAGTTCATGCAACTACTTAGAATTTACCCATGCCCCCCCGCCCCGCCCCGCCTCGCCTCGCCTCCATAGGGGTTTCTTAGGGACTAGGGTCTGCCCTGGAGCTTCCAGGGGGAGAAGGCTGGGGGTCCGGACTCCTGAGTCTGAGGGAGGAGGGGCCTGGGGGATGGAACCTCTGGGCCTGAGGGAGGAGGGCTTGGGGGCCTGGACTCTTGGGTCCGAGGGAGGAGGGTGTGGGGGTCCGACTCCTGTGTCTGAGGGAGGGATTAGGGGCTT